TTGGCCAAAACATCCCCCCATTTTACCCAAATAATAGCCACAAAAAAACCCAGGAAACAACCACAAGGAACCAAAACACAAACCCCCACAACACCAGCCCCACCCCTGAATTTTATCCCATTAAGGAGACATGTTTGAATGAAGAATGCCCCATGCTTTGAGAGAGGATGTTGCTAGGAAGCTTCCTCATGTTCACATTCATTGCATTGTGTATTATTTCCCCCTTCCCCCTGCCTATATAAATCAGGCCCTATGGCCAAATGTAACACAACCTTTGAATATTGAAAATCTTTTACTCTTTGAGTATTATTAAAATAGTGTGATGCTATTTTAGCCAAATTCCTAATTCTATATCTTAAGAGTGGTTATCTTAAGTGTGAGTTTTAGGTTCTAGATATTTGATTAAGTGTGTCATATCTTAATTAAATTCTAGATTCAAACCCCAAGTTAGGATAAGAGTGTGTAATTGATAAGTTCATTTTGTTCTTATTCTATTCTACATATTTTAAGCGTTATTGCACGAAAATAGTGGTAAGCAGTACATAATTTTATGTTAAACTGAACAATATCTTTGATTTGTTCTTTAAGGAATAATAATTGGTTTAAAGTTTATCCAGTCCTGATTGTTGATTTTTCTGTTTATATTTGAAAGAAAAAGAACGTGTCGCCAAGAAACTCGGGGACTTGTGATGGGTGGGTACGTATCCGGACCCATTAAACAATTATAAACGGCTCAATGCCTAAGAGAGTGGATTGGGCCAGTATGGAATGAGATTGGTAAACAAGATACTAAAGGCCCAATTCCCGTTGATAGGCCTAGATGAATAATACAGATCATGGCAGACCCAAGTCCTGGGAAGATCAAGTGTTGAGATGTTAACCTCCATGATCGACATACAAGAGATATTGGAGAAGACTTAGGCACACGACGAGTGCCCATCACGTATGTAACTGTAATGTAGTATAAATAGAGGGAGAACCCTCTATCGAAAGAGGGGAAATTACACGCAAAAACAAATTAATAGAAATACATTAAGATTCATTATTATGGATATTATTTTCCTAAATCGTTCTTCGTTGCCATAGTTGGGCTTGTTGAATATAAATGAGTCCTAGAAGCCAACTTATGATTCCATATCTATATTATATCAAGAACAATAGGCCCTAAAGATTATTTAAGTCGTCTCATGTGATTTAAACATAGCTTTAGTCCATAGAGTAGGCGCTCTAGTAACACAGATGAGAACTACGACGTTCTGATTATGAGGTTGTTACAAAGATAGAGGCTACGTCTAAAATATCCTTAGTTGAATATTATGACAATACGGACATCATAATATATCAAGACTAATACGTATGAGATGAGATAACTCCGTCTCATAGGCTATAGATAAAGTGTTATCTGAATCTATATGTAGGCAAACATATTGTGTAACGCCCCAAAATATACCCTAGAATTATTAATAAATAAATAATCAATTAATCAAATTTGTTTTAATTAAGAATAAATGTTTGTTGGGCTTTGGGCCAAAATGAAATATGTTTGAATATTGAATATTACAATCACGATAAGTCTCATAGAGATAAATCCAAAATGTTGACTAATTATGTGATCTTGATTGAGAACCTGTGTACATAACCAAATCAAGAATATATGAAGAAATTATTATGATGTGAACTTTGAAATGATTTATTGAAATAAGTCATTAGAACAAATTATATGAATTAAATGTGAGAAACCTTTTTTGAATAAAGATCAACTAAATCAATTTTGACTCTGTCAAAGTCAAACACCCAAAAATATGATGTCGGAAAAAGTATTACAAATAAATATAAAAATTATATCAATAGATAGGTTTAACTGCCCGATCACAACAGTGCAAACGGAATTCAATCCGGAGAAAGTTGAACCAAAAAGTGTACCCCAACTGGAACCAAAATTGGTCCCAATCAGGGACACTGTGCGAACGGCGCCTCCCAGCGCACTAAGCCGATTGTGAATCTTCCTACGCTCACCAACCAGTGTCTTCTCCTCCCTCAAATCTACTATATAAAGGGAGCTAAGCATTCTCAATTCTTCACCAAAACATATACTTCCTTTTTCTATTCTGTTGCTCAAAGTAAGGAGAACGCTGTAGTGCTATCAATTTGGTGAGAGGTCGCCGGAGTTGGGAGTAATCGTTGCCGGAAGTTTCGCCGGAAAATATTCAAAACCTTCATTTACCTTCGAGGTAAGCCCGTAGATATATCTAATGACTAGAATGTTCGTATAGATCGTTTCTACGTTCATAAACGCTCGTTTGGTTGAGTTTTGTGTTTGACATGCTTGAAGAACCAAGAATCATAAACCATGGAATTGATGTTAAAACTATGAATTAATGATGCCAAAATGATCTATGAACCTTGGAGAACATCTCTATATAGTTTCGTTGAAGTTCGATAACTAAAAATGGTTTTTCCGAAATTGGACCCGAACGAAGAAGAAGATGAACAGTGGCTGAAACACCACTGCCTGGATCGATCCAGGGGCTTGGATCGATCCCCTGGGAGTGATTTTTCATAGTATGGATCGATCCAGAGGGCTGGATCGATCCCCCGAAGTTCTGATCCGAAAATTTGTCTGAAATTGCTATTTTTGAGCTCTAAAATCCTATTTTTGATACCAATGGATTATGATCATTATAAAAATGATTTACCATAATAAAAATGATGTTTTTAACAACTAAAAATGTTATGTGTTGCATGACGGTAAGTTCGGGTGTTAACACTCGAAGCTAGGCCGTTATTTGTTATCAATTGTTATGTTAATTGATGATTATGATAAATAAATATTATGGATGAGTATGAGTAATGAACCTACTGATTAAAATGAGTATTTATGATTGAATCATGAGTAAAATGAATACATTTATAATTATGAAATGATTTGTAGTGTTAAGGGTATCTAGAAGAACTCAAAGGTATACACATTTAGAGAATTGATGTTAAGACTATCTAGAAGACCTCTAGAATAGATCTCATATTAGTATGGATTTGTGAAACATGAATATTCGATGAATTAAATAAAAATGCATAAACGAGATTGACCAAGCTAGAGGATTACTCGTTTGGGAATGCCCGATCCAATGTTGATCAATCGCTATATTATTGTTGCCTTAACTGACTACAGTTAAGTGTCCGAAATCATTTGCCTTAAACTAATGACAGTTTAAGTGTCTGATTGCCTTAACTGACTACAGTTAAGTGTCCGAAATCAATTGCCTTAAACTTATGATAGTTTAAGTGTCTGATTAATAATTGCCTTTTTAAGAATGTGGCTATGGAAATTATGATCTGGCCTTAGACTAAGAATAGCTAAGAGCATTGTTATTATTTGGTCTTAGATTAAGAATAATTTAAGAGCACTATTGAAATAATACATGAATTGAATAAAATGTGTTGATATGAACTGAACAATACCAAAATTGTGAATGTCTGAAATGAACATTGTGTGCATGATATCAAATGATTTGATTATGAATTTAGATTCAGTTTATATGGATATTCGATGCATTAGATATGCTTACTCAGCTTTACCGCTGAGCGTGTAGTGTGTTTTATTTGCTACACGCAGGTAAACAGAAAGAACAATGCGATCCTGGTGGCAGATGGGGCGAGATTGTCGGGATGGATGTGATAAATTTTGAGATGAGTTATGATACGTCAATATTAAATTCGCTTCCGCAATATTATTGAATACTCCGTACTGTATATGTTATAAAAATATTATTGGAATTAATAAAGTGTGTTTGAAAAGTTTTAAATTCTAACGATTTCCAAGTTAAATACTTTAGTCCGAAAGGGGCTGCAGACCTGGACGGATTAGGGTGTTACATATTGGATATATTGCTGGATTGACCCGCTATGAGAATAATATATGGGTTTGAGTTAAAGTGTTAATATTATTCTCATGCGACCATTAGTATAACCATTCTTTGACTTGAAGTCATTACATTCTTTGGTAAGTTGAGTTGTATACTTTGAGGCATGATTTATGCCATCTGAAATATTGGTGGATGTACAGTTATATTT